GTACCACGTCCAGCTCTGGATCCCGAAGCACAGTAAAGATGTGGACCTGTTGGAGCGGGGTCCAGAGGAGGCCACAAAACTGCTCTGAAATGGAACACCTGTCCTATGAGGACAGACTGAGAGAGTTGGGGTTATTCAGCCTGGAGAAGAGAAGGCTCCAGGGAGACCTTATTGCAGCCTTCCAGTACTTAAAGGGGGCTTCTGAGAAAGATGGGGACAGACTTTTTAGCAGGGCCTGTAGCAATAGGACAAGGGGTAATGGTTTTAAACTAAAAGGGTGTAGATTTAGACTAGATCTAAGGAAGAAGTTTTTCGCAGTGCAGGTGGTGAAACACTGGCACAGGTTGCCCAGAGAGGTGGTAGATGCCTCATCCCTGGAAACATTCCAGGTCAGATTGGATGGGTCTGTGAGCAACCTGATCTAGTTGAAGATATCCCTGCTCATTGCAGGTGGGTTGGACTAGATGACCTTTGAAGGTCCCTTCCAACCCAAACCATTCTATGATTCAGCCTCAGCAGTGCTGAGCAGAGAGGAAGGAGCACCTCCTTTCACCTGCTGGCAACTTCCTAATGCAGCACAAGATACTATTGCCATCTTTTGCTCTGAGGGTGCATAATTTTGTAAACCTGAAAATATTTCTTGTACGCATGCTCAGTTTCTTTGCTGTTAGACCATTTAGACCTTTGAATGTTTAGTGTTCCTTGAGTTTTCCATTATCAAAATGCAACATGAACAAAAAATTGCCTTTCTTTTGGTGCTCTCAGAGATGAAATTTACAGGGTTGAAGGAGAAACCTTAAACTGCATGAGGGTGTTCTTGAATTTATTAGATTTCTAGTAAAAAATTGATCTAAGTTTTGGGGTGGCTGAGGCATTCATTTGCCATACAGTTGTGCATTACACTAAATACGATTTTTGTGCTGGTCAAAGTAAAGAGTAATTGTTTTAAAATAGCCTGTGTCTATAGTCTTCAGAAAGCCTGACATAAGGCTTACTGTTTGCTGCTTCCAGAAATCGATAGCCCAATTGGTATCCACAAAGCTGAAACTTTTTAGAAGAATATGTATACGGAAATATGTTGGGGACTCTATGGAGTCATCAGTTGTCTTCTTGGATTAGTGAATTTAAGCAGGGTAAGAAAGGGCTGAGAAGCAAGGAAGCTGTACTCCACAAGATTGTACATAGAAACCCAATGTGTGACAGGACTATAACAATGCAGAAGTTTTAGTGCATTTTTTGTATAAACAGCATGACCTTGTGAAAATCCTGGAGAAGAACCTCAAGCAGAAATATGTGTAGCTGTTGACAAAATGTGAATTGTTCGCATGTTGTAAAACCAGGACAGTAATCCAGGGCCATAGCAGACACTTTGTTTATAGTTTGTTTTGAACTATGCCCTTTTTTTCTCCTCTGAGTGTTCTGGAATGAAAATTTTACTGATGATTATGGTCCTCTTTACTAACGTGATAGTTTAAGTATTATATGGTCTTACACTGGTGTTTTGTTGCATATATACACTGTATATATATTGACCAAACACTTGTCAATTAAAGACTGTTATATGCTGGCATCTTAGAATAGACTTGTTTACCAACAAAATGTGGCATACTGAAGACTAAAAAGTCGATTTCTCCAATCATATTTTTTCTGTTTTTCTAATTTACAGGCTGTTCTGGAGACTATTAGGAATTTGATGAACACAGATTGTGTGGTTCCTGACTGGCTGCATGACATCATTCTAGGATATGGAGACCCAAGCAGTGCACACTATTCGAAAATGCCAAATCAGATTGCAACTCTGGATTTTAATGACACTTTCCTGTCCATTGATCACTTAAAAGCTAGCTTTCCTGGATACAGTATTAAAGTGACTGTTGACAATCCAGTTCTGCAAATACCCCCCTTCAGGTGACAGTAAAATTTCAAGTACTCCTGGTCCAGTATTCTTGCTGAAGTGTGTTGTCAGGTGGAGTTTAGTTCAGTGATTGAAGGCAGGTGCTCTTTCTTTTTAGGAAAGATGTTAACATGATAACATTTAGATTTAGATATTTATACAACGGAGTTTACTACAGGTAGGCTCAGGACCAGTTTCTGCTCTGTTCTGTACAAAAATGCATCAGAGCATTGCTTGTAGATCAGCCTACTAAATATATGGGAAAAGCAAGAGTATGATACAGAATCAAGACACTTAGTATTCACTTCTGCATTATGGTACGTAGCCTCCTCAAGCTCAGGCTAAAGATTTTTAATTACATAGTTTCCTTACATGTCTCATTAAAGCAAAGTGAGAACAGCAATTTCAACATCAGTTAAAATTTCAGCTTTTGGAAACACCATTCGATCAAAATAAAGAATTAAGTCTGAAATCCCATAGTGCTTATTTTATTTTAGAAATGGTTTCTGAAATAGGATGCCTACCTTTGCAACCACTGAATGAGGTTTACATGTTTTGTTTCAGTGGTGCTGTTGTGCAGCATTTTTAGACTTCTAAAATTTTTTAGACAGTTCTGTCCCTCCTGGTGGATCTCCTTGCATTTTGGCAACTGAGTTTCACAGTGCATAGTGTTGGAGAATAGCTCGTTCAGCTAGAATGAAGAAACTATATCTTTTTTCCCTTATAAGTTAGTGAGAATTGGCATATGTTTCCTTTTGAAGGAATAGATTTGACTGAAGAGGGAAAAGATGGTTTTGCCCCTCCAGTCAGGTCTTATCATGGCTAAATTGAATTAAAAAAAAAAAAAGTAGGGAGGTAATCTTCCATGTTTTTTTTTTTTTTTAAAAACTGCATGTAGAATATGTGGAGAAGGCACTAACACTATATAATGATATAAAAATAGTCTGAAGATATCAAGACAAGATACCACACAAAATTTCCCCTGATGATGTAGTGTTCATTTTCAGTTCATAGATTAAAATACAGATACTCCTTTTTATGAAGAGCTATTGCTTTTCCTACTGCTGCATTTGTCCTGCAAAGAGGCCAAAAGATTATTGCTGTTAAAGATGTCTGCATTGTTGTCTCAAGGTGATTGGATAGCCATTGGAATTCCTTCACCGTGATTTGTTTCTGAATTAAAGTAGAAGCTTGCTAACATATGAGACAGGGCCATAAAAGACTTGGATAATAAAAGACTTCATATGCTGGAGCAGTTTAGAATATTGACATATCTTGTGTTTAAAAACAAACAAACAAAACCCCAAACAAACAAACAAAAAACTAAAAAGCAAATAAACACTCCCAAACCCCTCCCCCCCTCAAACCAACAAAACCCAACAACTGTACATCAGGTCTAGAACAAAATCAAGTTATTACTACTAAACAGACAGTGTTGGTGGCTTTCTAGTATAACTTTATTCCTGTCCCTTCTGTTTTCATTTATGAACTCTTTGCCTTCAGTTTTTTTCCAGCTTGCTCTCAGCATTGCTTCTGGCTTTTCAACCAATGTAAAGAGCACTTTTGACATGCTTTTTGTCAAATATGCTCTCTTAAAATCAGCTTCATCAATTTATTTGTCATTCCTTTTCCTTTTCCTCATTAATTGTTATCTGCAACTCTTGTTTGCCTATCGTGTGAAAGTTTGTCTTAATGGTGACCAAAAAATCTTTTCTTTCTGCATAAACTTGGAAGACAGTCTGGTATCATAGTGAATGTGTTGAAGTGTAGTCTTAAATTATGTGTTACAGGATAACTTTCCCAATAAAGGGAGGTAAAGGAAAGAAAAGAAAAGAAGAGGATGGGAACGAAGAAAAACCTGAAGAAGCTAAAACACTGATTGTAGAGCCTCATGTCATTCCAAACAGGGGACCTTATCCATATAATCAACCAAAACGGTAAGAAACGGATGAGAACTTACTTACAAATGATAACACGTGCATAGCAGTTCATTTTCAGAAATACTTAAAAGTAATATTAATTATAAACAAAATGTCATTTTGACTTCATTACTGAAAGAAGATTTGAATATGAGACTGTTTTGTTTATATTTAAATCAAACTGTTCTATTATCACCTCTTTGTTAAAAAATTCCCGTGAAGAACAATGAGAAATACTGTCTTTTAGTGTTGTGTCAGGACTTTGAATATTGTGAGAATCATACCTGAATAATTCTACAGCATTCTCACAAAATAATAACTAAACACAGACAATCTTTTAGATGGGATGATTTTGTTGTCATGTGGGGAATGTGATTTACTTTCTTGCTTACAAATCACAGGATTGTCATTTCTAGAAAGAAGATAGTTGTAATGATGGTTTAATTTATATAAAAATTGGCAAGCATGTAGTTCTGGAGAAACATGTAGCCAATTAATTTAAATCAAACTTGTTAAAAGAATTGCTTTTTATCAAAACTGTTGGCAAAATCTATCAATTCTCTGATCTTGTTTTGCTTTGCTACAGCAATACTATTCAATTTACTCATACTCAGATTGAAGCTATACGTGCGGGAATGCAGCCTGGACTAACTATGGTAAGCATATTTTTGAGGGTTTTATACTCTTTGATTCTGGCCTTAGGTACATTCAGTGAAATACCAAGAATGCCCATTTCTGTAGCCTTGCTGAGGTCACTTGTATTAATAGTTTAAAAATATGAAAAATTAACATACAAAGTCTCAACATCCTCCCATCTTCACAAAATCATACAGAAACACATTTGATCTCTGCATAACTGTATCCTGTGTTTCAGTGGCTGAAGACTTTCCACAACAACTGAATTTACTTTTTCAGTAGTTGGATTGCTAATTTTAGACTGTATAGCTTTTGCCATGTCTGTCATTTTTGGCTGTTTCAAATTACTTGCTTCATTTTTAGTTCTATCTAACTCCATTAAAGGAAATGAAAGTCATTGAATTGTCTTCAGGGACCTTTTTGCTGCTGTGTTGTGAAATGTAACATGCAGTCCTTTATATCCTACTGAATTCTAGAACTAAGAAGTTACAAAGCAAGCCCAAGCTGTAGACTTGTTACGAAAATAATTTCTAATCAGTGAATTTTTGCAAAGGTCTTTAAGGTTTACCACACTCAGTTAGACTTTGATCACAAGTAGCTGTGTCTCAGTGAAGTACAGTCTATCCTGGTAGTGACTCAGTGGAGTATTTGAATGACTCTTCTCTGATACTCTTAATTTCTTCTTGGTCTATATAGGCAATAATGCTAATTTTGGGGTTTTTGTATGGGTATTCATTAGTACCACATTCTTCCTCCTCCCCTTCCACCTTATGTTTTACTGCTCCCTATACACTCTGTAGTTAGCGCACAAAAGATGCAAAGCAAAAGAAAAAATAAACTTCAGTAGAATTGTATGCCTTTTGTCCCTGCCTGACAGGGACAGTGTGCTGAAATTAGTAGTGTCATAAACGTGTATAAGAGTTACCTGAGTTCTTGGCAGTGTTTTTGAGTATGGTACGTTTTCTACTAGAATACAGGAGAACTTTCTGGTTGTTGATAGAGTATCAAATTTAAGGTCTATTTATAAATCAGAGTTCTTTTTTTGAATGCTGTGAAAATGCCACAGTGATAGATGCTTTAAGTTTGCTTATTAAACAATGTTGGAAGGGGTTCTTTGGAATGATTTGAACTGCTGGGTTTTACATAATTAGAGTGTCTGAGAATACCCATGCCAGTGTATAGGAGTATTGCTTTATATCAGTGGTATTGTCAATAGGAAAGAATACTGTGAAATTAAAATCTTTATTACTATTTTGTAGTACATAATTAACACGCAAAATACTAGAGACGGTGTCTCTAGGTCACCTAGCTTTTTTTTTAAATACCATTGCATACTGTTTATTAGTATCATTTAATATTTGTTGAACTATTAATGACTTTCAAATGCAAGTGTATAATGCATTATAAACTACCATTTACTTCCCTTTTAGAGGGCTTTGAAGAAGAAAAGTAACTTCCTGTGCCTGGTACTCCATCAGCTTTCATAAATATTTGAGAAGATGGTCGTTATATAATTTGAGCTTTTCTACTAAAACCGCATTTGTTGATTTTTAAGAGGTTAGAGACTGAGAGTCTGTCGGTCAAAAGGGAAAAACAATGACAAAATTGGCTTTTTGTTTTTGAGGACGCATTTCTGATTTTTTAAAATTTTTTTTTTTTACTACATCACCCACTTTTTGCAGGGAGACAAGGCAGACTGAGGGAAGTTACATAATATAGGCCTATGTTTTCTTTTCTGTCAGTGTCATGTATTTCTGTCAAATATTTTTGAGCAGTACAATCCTACTTGCTTTTGAATCCAGAGATCAATGAGATTCTTTAAAAGCAAGCATGATTTCATAGCAGTTTGTAATTTTATGTGTAGATGAATATGAAACCTGCTATTCTGTGCTGCTGAATGCTGAAAAAATTCCTTTGAGATGCTTTGTAACACTTGGATACCTCTAAAATGTCTCAGATGTCAATTTTTGAATGTTGTTGGTATAATTGAGCCTATAAAAATACTGTTAGTATTACTTATATATCATCAGTTGTAGATTTTTGAGTATTTGAGTAAATAAAAGTATGGACTTTTTTTTTGTTGTTGTTTGTTTGTTATTTGTAGCTGCCTCACCTTATTCTTTTTCAGTTATATGCTTTGGTGCTTTTTTTACCATTTTCCCTATGTTTAGCCTGTCCTGAGGCTAAAAAGCCTTTTTTTCTTTTTCATGGGCTGTGAAAAAGAATAGTACTTCATATGCTCAATTACCATATTCCTCTTAGGCAGGAATCTACCTAACTAATCTGAACTGGTCTTTCATGATATAGTGTATTTGTTCTTGAAGTTCACAAAGGCCAGCAAGTAATTGCTGGATTACCATATTCCTCTTAGGCAGGAATCTGTGTTGGCATTGGGCTAAGTCTTTCATGGTGTATGTACATATTCTTGAAGTTCATAGAAGCTAGGATGAAATTTTACATGAAACAAAATTTTGTTGTTGTTGTCAATGTATGATGTCAATGTCTTGTGAAATTGTTTTTTTTTTTTCCCAACTGTCTATATTTCTGTGTTGTGCAATATTCTGATAAATTGTGTGTTGATATTTGTTTGGTTTTAATTTTTGTTGGTGTTTATTTTTAGGTGGTGGGTCCACCTGGTACTGGAAAAACTGATGTAGCAGTCCAGATAATATCCAATCTTTATCATAATTTCCCAGAACAACGAACTCTTATAGTTACCCACTCTAATCAGGTAAATTGTCAGTCATGCATGAAGTTTTCCTGTAATTAAAATCAACAACAACAGCAGGTATTGAGATCAGTAGGTTTGGGATTGCAGTTGTCTCTTAACAATGAAAACATGAGTTGGTTTATATGTAGTTTTGCCAGTTTCATAATATGAAATAAAATTTTTGAATTTCGGGTTTGTAGGTCTGAGCTATATATCAGAAGTTTTCAATATATTTAACTAGTTGGGAGTAGAAATTGGGGAGTGTTTTGAAAAAGTGTCTGCGCAATTTTTACAGTTGCACATTCACTGCATGCCTACCAGATTTTTGCTAACTAGCTTTCTCGGACATTGGTTGCTCTGTGCTTCATGCTTCTAAGAGAAGGCATGGAAAGTACCAGGGCCTCTTCAGCTGAATGCTTGCTTCCCATTCATAAGAGATGAAATCTAGCTGCTCATTCTCAAGCATATATAAAATAAGAATAAAAATTATAGAGGTCTTAAAGATTCTTACTCTAAATTTGCATCTGATTTGGAGGGATTTGTTTGGAAACTAGGGTCATCTATTTCCTGGTCTCCCTAATCAGCCTACCCTGTCTCAGTTATGAGCTATTTTAACTGACAATACCACTTCGAAAACATTTAAAACTTTTTCCATTAAAGCAAGATCAAGCACTTGTGCTGTTGATCAAAGAATAGTGGATATGGCTTCATTTTGGTGAGGAGTTACAATGATACAGGAATAATATAGGCCAGTCTACAGTGGGTTGCGTGAGAGTAACAGGTAGTGAAGTTGAGAGGAAGGGTTGAGAGCATGCCTGTTCGGGAGAAAAAGAAGGAAATAATTTAAGGCAGCTAGGAGACTCTTCTTACCAGACAAGACTTATAAGAGGACATGCACTTGAAATTGTACTTCAGAAAATAAACTGTATCTTAGCAGGGTTCATTCCTTGTGCCTTGACACTGTACTTTAACATGTTTGCATGACTTCCAGCTGACTTGAAGTGAAGCTTGCTGATGTTTATTCTTAGTTTCATGACTTAGTGATCCGGTGCTTACAAACTTACTCCTTTGAAATATACTGAATTGGACAGTTGATACTAAGCTGTTAGAGAATGGAAGAGTTAAGGCAGGAGACATAGCACACCTTGAAGTTCAGTTCAGCAAAATTAAAATGTATTTATCCATATGGAGTAGAGTAACAGCACCTGCCAGTCAGTACTAGACCACACTCTTCTACAGTAAAAGTTAAATGGTTTAAAGTCATCTAAAAAAAAAAATCAAATGTTTGCAAAGCATGCTTCTTGAGACAGTTCTATAAACTGATAGCTTTATGAACTAAATTAACTAGGTGATACTATCAAATTCTGAAATTGTTTTAAAATTGTAAAATCAAATTTAATTGTTGTATAAAGTATGCAAATACAGGAGTTTTAGTAGGGTGATTTCCCTGTTAAGATTTAGAGCTGTAGTTTGTTTCAACTTCACGTTTGCTTTGGCTTCCATCTATACCAAAATAGGCATAATTTCCTAGTTGGTTTACCAGTAATTGTTCAGTTTTCCCCTGCAAGAGCCTCTGAACTTCTAAAAACTACCTTTTCTCTTGTTCCTGTCAATCTCTAGGCCTTGAACCAACTGTTTGAAAAAATCATGGCTCTAGACATTGATGAGCGCCACCTCCTGCGTCTGGGTCATGGAGAAGAGGAATTAGAGACAGAGAAAGATTTCAGCAGGTGAGAAAAGAGGTGCTAATAAACATGCTTGCATCAACATTGGAGCAAGATGTATGTGTTGGATCCATTCTACCTCCCTTGTAAATGAACAAGGAGCTGTGCTTGACAAGTTTTACCTTTCTTAGTATTGAATCCCAGTAACACAGGGTGCACTTGTTTTCAATACAGGGTTAAGTAATTTTGGTTCTTACTCAATATAGAAACCGTGTTCTCTTGAGAATTCAAAGGCAGAATCAGTGGCTTGTTCACAAACACAACTGCTTGAATAAATGTAGTTCATTGTATTCTGGGTCCATATATGTTTTATAGAATTGATCTGTTTTGTGGGAGAAAGTTGAATAATAAAGGTAGGGTTTTTGCACTGATGAATTTTTAATGCAAATATGAGATCATTTCTGCCAGCATGGTGAATAATGCATTAATAAATATAAACATGAAATTAAACTTTCTGTTTTTAATTCTTCAGAATATTGCTTAATTACAAAGTTGCTTATTTCATTGGTAAATAGCCCATTTTGAAGACTATATACCTAAGGAAAGCTATCAAGTCTGTATCAGTACAAAGACTTAAGAACCTGTGCTTGTAAATATTTGTACATTTGTTATGTCTTAGTCCAGTTGATGTCAGTAAGATTACACACATTCATAAATATAAGCAGGCGTAAAAGGGTCATGCACTGGAAATAACTGAAATGTCCAGTACTGGATTATTATTGCAATACTTTGACTTCAAAAGCAGTAGTAAAGATTATATATAGTCACTAGAAGCTACCCACATATGCATAGTTGAGTTTCATTTAGCAAAATAAATACCTTGTGATTTTTTTAAAATTTGAATGCTTTGACATAGTCAAATTGTTTCAGAAATTGGATAGCCAAAATGTTAGTGAAATGACGCCATGGCAGATATTTATTTAGTAATATCCATGGTTTAGTATATTCCTTGAACAGTAGTGCTCATCATTAAAGGGAGTTTTCCTTGAGACACATTGTCCATTTTCATTGTTTTTCAAGGTAACTCCAGACCTATGGGACATTACTGCAAGTCCTGTGGGTGCAGGCAGTTTGGGAGGGAGGGATAAGGGTTGAGGAATATATTTGAAGGTGGACTGCACTACTGTGAGGAGAGTGCCTTTTGTTTGTTTTTAGATTGCTTCCGAGTTTGTGGTTTTTCTGTGTCAAGCTGCTTCGGAGGGCACAGTACTGCTTAAGGAATTTCTACTGGTTGGCAAGCTTTGTGTTCCCTTTTTGCTTCCTCTTCAGGCACAGCAAACCATGGTAGGGGGTATAAGAACATAAGGTGTAGAGGAGCTGATTAAAGCTGTTAAACACAAAGGGAATCACAGCTAAAGAAAACTTCTGTAACAATGAACGAATACATAAGAGGGCATATGACTTCAATTGTGAGAAATAAAAGGACACTAGAAGTGTGTGTGTGTGGCGGGGGCGGGGGGGAACCACAACTGGTTGCAGTCACTTGTAATTATAATGGATGAGTTTTGTTGAAGAAGAAAAAACTATTTAGTATTCCAAGGATCTTAACTGTTGTAGTTCCCAAGGAAATAGTTTTTACCAGTTGTGATCAGTATCATATTCAGTTATGTCTTGGTAAATTCAAATCTCCAGCTTTAACTACTCTCACCCTTCTAAATCAGACAATAGAACTTGCTGTGATTACCAGGGATTGTGTCCTTTTTTTTTTTCTGCACAGAAAACATATTTTATGAATAGTAAGTTTAATAAGAACTTGAAAGTTAGCCTTTATTGACATTTGAGCTTTTAACTACATATGCATTTTTAAAAGTGTCCTATTCCTCTCACTTCTTTAATTTCATCGATATATGCCACTTTCTAATTTGTTTTCTTTTTTATAGAATGTGATACATTGATTTTTTGTTGTTCTTGTACTGCTTCTGGGAAGGGGGAGTGCATGGATTAAGGAAATTGATATATAAAGGAAAAATGTTGGGCTTGAATTGGGTAAGAGGAAGAAGAATGGAAAGAGTAGGTTACGCACTAATAAGTCATGAAAGTTACTGAACAGGCAGCTGTGAGTAGAGAACCTCCTATGTGTGGATGCAAACCTGTCTGTTGTGGTGGGCTAAGCATTATTGCAAGACAATTTGTATATTGCCAAAGGAAGTCAGCCTCATCATACTGAAACTTCAGGTATAGGTTCCATTTATGATGGTGCATAGACTTGTGTAAGTTGCTTGTGTTTTGTGTAACATGTAGTGTACCATAGTTTCTAAACAGTACATTGGAATTAATGCTTCTCTGCTTTACAGGTATGTTATGAGAATGTTTTACAGCTTTTGTTGAAGTGATAGGATAAAAAGAGCTTTTTCTACAGTAATGGCTCTTGCATGGCTTTGTAAATTATTAGGTCTCAACTGATAGAAATACTCAGTACGTACCAAATTCTTGGTTTATGGAACCTAGTAGTAGTTGTGTGTGGTGGTTTTTGTTGGGGTTGTTTTTTTGATACTTAGATAAAACAGTTTTTAATTAAATACATTTAAATTGCAGAGGGATCTGGACAGGCTGGATCG